TGAGCTGTGTCTCTGAACACCTGTTACAGTCAACAGAAAGCTAATGAACTCAGTCAGTGAAAGGCAGTGTTCTAAGTTTGCATTTGTTTTCATTCCTAATGTTAGTTAAGGAAAATCTTTCTTGTTTGTTTCATCAGGAGACAAGGTTGTGCTAGGACTGAGTTAGAAGGCACTCTCAGAAAGACCACTATAGGTTGGTTTCATACCCTTTTTCAGGGCAATCCTCAGCTCACTGTTCAGCTAGCTGCTGCAGGCTGCTCCAGCATCTCTCCTGAGAAATTCCTTTGCAGAAAAATTGCCAGAGGAAAATCCTCTTGAGGGAATTACAGTCATCATAACATCCAGCCCTGTGAGCACCACACTCTTCCACTCTTCTTCAGGCTCCATGAGTCTTGTGCATGAGGTTTGAAAATCAGAATTCTTTTGTCAATTAAATGACATTTTTTCAATGTGTCAGACCGTTGACTAATGGTTCAGTGTATTTTTGAAGAGCCAGAGGGATCTGTGTCACTGAGAGTATAAACCTTATTTTAATGACTGCAGATTTTAAAAACTGTCAAAACAGCTAAAGAAAAAGCATCATAAAAGTAATATTGAGTTAGCCATTGTTTTTTCCCAGTGGCTATTCCTAAAGGAAAAGTAGTTATCAGGCAGTGAAAGGTCAATGAGTTTAAGTTAAATTAAAGAGTATTTCTAGTTCATTCTGGCTTTACAGAAAATGTGTGCTTGATCCATGTAATTTGACTGCATTTACACACTTCTGTAAGGCATTACGTAAATATTTAGAACATACCCCCAGCTGTATGTGTCCAACATGTGGATGAACATCTACAAGCTCCTGAGAAGTCTTGCAATTCTGTCTGTAGTGCTGTCATTGTATAAAATATATGTGCATGTCTGCATAAAGTTTTACAGCCTACTAAAATTTAATCTCTCTTCCTCTGCTTAAAAATTTGCCAGCCAGAGGTCAGCTTTCTCCCAGAGTAGATTCCTGTGATTGCCAACAGTTTTTCTTACTCTGTCCTCTTTACACTATTCAGTGCTTGTTTTGATCCCACTCCAGCAATGGTGAGGTTGAATTTTGCTGGACAGGTAGTCTGTTTCCTCTGCAGGTGAGACGACCAGCATCAGTGGTGATCACCTGAAGAAACCTTCAACTCAATGACTTTAGGATTTTGCAGTTGAACACAGATATTTATATACTTTTGTTCACTCAGAAGAACCTGAGGTTACTGCAGATTTTCACACTTTATCACTTTAAATTTTTCCAGCAGTTGCTGAAAATCCTATGGAATCCATCAGAGTCAAACCTAACCGGAACTTGTTTGAATAGGATTTTTTTTTTATGAATTGGAATTTAACTTGAAGTATTTGTCTCTTGTCTCCACTGGTCCTGAACCAGCCTGACTAAATATTTATTTTCAGCCATTGACTTAGAAAAACATTGGCATAAAATCTGATATCCTTCAATGAGAACCTGTTGAGCAATGTTTCTTTTCTAGGCTGGCTAAGTTGAGCAGTTTCCTGGAGAAGCCAGTTTTGTTTTAATGCCTGTTCTGTTGGCAACAGTTGACTATTATAGCCAACAGCATGCTCTGAGTGCCAATAGGGGAAGTAAGCCTTTGATCAATTGTTACTAGAAATGTATGCGTTATGTATCCTTTGTGTTGAAGTGCTTGGGAATTGATTGATGGCAAGGGGCAAAATGAGCTAATGGTGCTCTTGCCTTTCCTTCTGGTAATCCCCCATCTCTCTTTATAAAACTCCGCAATTTCTTATGTTCCCTGTGCAGCAAAATAACACAGCTTCTCGCTTAATCCTTCAATACCAACTGGAGATTTAGGAAATTAGAGAAAATGTGCAAGCCAGTGTAGCGGGAGTGTGAGTGGTGTGCCAGATCTGTCAGAGGTGCTGGAAATAATTGTCAAAGTCAGCTGAAGAACCACCTTGGTGAGATGAGCCTTCATTTTAATTTTTTTTTTTTTATTCCAGATGAGCAGTTTAATTAATTTGCCCTGAACAATGATCTGAAATGGGACAATTTCACTCAGAAATTAATCTGAATGAGAACTAATTTGAAAAATATGGAGCTTTTTGTTCTTAATCTTTGTACCACTATGTGGGAGAAACAGAGCCTTGGTGGTCTTAGACTTTGGGAAACAAGGACTCCTTCTCAGCCTGTTGTGGTAATGAAATGGAGAGTGCTATGAGGAGTTGCATAATCTCTAAATAGTACTTCCGGGGATCTTTTGTCCCAGAGACCCATGGAACTGTAGTACACAAGGAAAAATTTCTACAGCATAAAAATACAGTGTGATGTGATTCAACATTTCAACATCATGCAAATATCCAAAGGATAGAGTTCAGGCTATATGTGAAACCTTTACTTCATGATTTCCTGGCAGTCAGAGGTTTAATTTTATGACTTCAGTCACATATACTGTTGTCATTTTTTTCCTACTGGCATTTCAAATAGCTTTATTAGAAAGGGAGAAAAAGTCCCAGGCACTACAAACCTTTAGTCCAGAACTGTGCATGGGGGACATTTCTTTTAGTCAGTAAAATTTGGAAAGACAACCACTTGTTGAAATAAAATCAGAGGTGATAAGAACAGGAAGGCAGACAGACCAAAAGCCTACCTACCAGTTATTTACCAGCACAAGTGGATGGAGTTACTTGAGCTGAAGAGAGCAAAAAGCAAAGAAGGATCAGTGTTAGCTGCATACTCAAGTATCTCCCATGGCTTGCTGTAGGCAATGATACAGTGTTTTTTAAAAAGGAAAGTGAAAAGTGCTTATTACATTTAACTGCAGTATGCTGCCTGAAGAAACTGAAAGCCATTCATCCATGCCAGTGGAGACCAATGTGCTTGACAGTATTCATGCTCACAAGGGGAGACGCCAACATTGTCTAGAAAATGCTGTGGACTAGAGTGCACAGAAGTATGCTTAGTATCTGGTGTGAGCACAGTGAATGCATCATAACACAGCACCAGGAACCAGCGATGTACCCCAGGGATCCCTACTGGATCCATTCCTGTTCAATGTCTTCGTTAAATGTCTGGATGATGGGGCAGAGTGTACCCTCACCATGTTTGCTGATGACACAAAACTGGGAGAAGTGATACACTAAAGGGTCACGCTGCCACCCAGAGGAACCTCCACAGGCTGGAGAAATGGGCTGACAGAGACCTCATGCAGCTCAACAAGGGGAAGTGCAAAGTCCCACACCTGGGAAGGAACAACTTCAGGCACCCGCACGTGCTGGAGATCAGCAGCTGGAAAGCAGCTTTGGAGAAAAGGGTCTGGGACACCTAGTTGACCATTAGCCAGCAGTGTGCCCTTGTGGCACACCTGGACTACTGTGTCCAGTTCTGGACTCTCCAGTACAAGAGGGATGTGGAGGGCCACTAGGATGATTAAGGAACTGTGGCATTCCTTATATGAGGAAATGCTCATAGAGGGAACATACATAGAGAGCTGGGACTGTTTAGCCTGGAAGAGCTTTTCAGGGTCAGGGAGATCTCATCAGTGTGTATGAATACCTGAAGGGAGGCTGTAGAGAAGATGAACCTGGGCCCTTTACAGTGGTGCCCAGTGACAGAACAAGAGGCCATGGGCACAAATTGATGTTCCTTCTGAACATCAGGAAACACTTTTACTTTGAGAGTTACCAAGCACTTGCACAGGTTGCCCAGAGAAGTTGTAGACTATTTATCCTTGGAGGTATTCAAAAGCTGTCTGAACACAGTTCTGGGCAATCAGCTGCAGATATCCCTGCGTGAGCGGGGGATTTGGACCAGATGGCTTCCAGAGGTCACTTCCAACCTCAACCATTCTGTGGTTCTGTGATTCTGTGATCATGCTTTGAAGCCAAAATATCACGTTAAACTTTTGCTGAAGACCAGGCTTGATTAACCCATCTGCTGTGTATACTTGTTCATGGCTGTAGTAGTCAAAGGTAGTCTGAGATGAGAGATGCCAAGCACATCAGTCCTCAGTAGGATTGTCTACAGAAGTTTGCATACTTCCATCGTGTTATCCCAGTGAGACATGTATAACTGGGTGATAATAAAAAATATATACTGGCATTTCTAGTTAAATTTAGTAGAGAAATTCCTGTAAGTAATCAGAATTTTTTCCTTTCTGAATGTTGATACAAAACATGTTCTACATGTACTTTTTACATCATTTATCTCTGAAGAGATCTTTGGTAGTACAGTACTACTAGATTATCTAATAGTTTTACATAGTTCAGACATTAGCTGGGTTCTTTGCCATGTGATAACTCTAATGGAAATATGGTTTAAAGGTAGCCCTTTCTTAGCACAGATGACTCTTGCAAAAAACCCTGCCTGTGTCCCACTCTTCACTGGGTCTCTGTTGCTCCAGTTTCCCTGAATCTCTGTCTGAAGTGATGAGATGGGTGAATTTGCATGAGTGATGAAAGCAGCTGAGGACAGTGCTCTGCAGGGCAATAAATATGCCATTGTGAGGATTCATGAGTCTGAAAATCACAGGGTATGCAGAGTTCAGTCAAAACAGAGGCTGGGGTGGTTGGTCTTTTTTTCAACATCTGTCTCATATATTCTCTTTAAAGTTTGTTGACTGGGGTAAGGATTTGTAGTCAAAGCCAAATGGGATGGCCCTTGGCACAGTGTGTTAAGAGAGAAGGCTTTTACTTTGTGTGCTATTACCCACTGCTAAAGAAATAAGCATTTGTAGTTTCCTTTGCCTAGAACCAGTGCCAGCAAAAGGTTATAGTGAAGTAAGCTTAGACTGTGACCGATATTTTTTAAAACCATTAATATAGATTTTGTTTCTGATATGCTTGTTTCTAAACAAAAAGTGTGAAGCTTTTCATACCGCTTCTCTGTGAAAATAAATAAGAACTGAAGTTGATATTGCAAGGCAGTTTTTATTTCTACCAGCTTTTTAATTTATGATTGTAGGCACTGCTTTACTGTAAATGTTCAAAAGTCTATGAATTCTCTTTCACAGCTGCAAAGATTTTTTGACATATTCTTCAAAAACAGTTCTCCCCAGCAAGCCTTGAACAACATGAAGGAGGCTATAAGCAAACTTCTACTTATAACTGAGGTCTTCAGTGAATCATCTGCCTCAGGACCAAATTCTTTCAACCAGTAAGTGACTCGCAGTTGTCATTGTAATTCTAGTGTAATGCAAGATAACTCCTTAGAACACAATAAAAATTGTAGGGGCTACACAACTCCTAAAATAAAAAATTACCCACTATTTCGTACTTCTTTGTAAAGTAAGGAAATGCATTTAAGGAGTAAACCTCTTCAATATCCACAGTGTTTCCAGTTTGTGAAAAGGTTGTGATGAATACCTAGGACCAGATGCTTTGTCCTGATGAAGTGTTTCAGGCAGCACAGATGAACAGAAATCACTCACAATTTGGCTTGTCCTAACACATATAAAGCTGTATTTCCTTTTAGTGAGCCTTCTTTCATATGTCAAATATTTAATGCTAGAATATCCCAGGTGGTTTAGAGCTGGCTCTAGCTGGCAACCTGAACAAGAGACACTGTAGAATATCTTATGGAATGTACCTTATGAAATACACCTAGACAAAAACAATCACATTTCTGTGTGTAATCACTTCCATTAGCGTGTTATAATTCTTACACATAAATCAACCTCTATTATGTAATATTTTTACTAATTAAAATTAATATTTGTTCTATATATGTTATGTCCCATCCCTGACATTTTTATGATAAATACTAAATAAGTCACTATTTAGTACATTTATGTGTTTTATAAAGCTATTTTGACAACTCAGGTGTTTTAGTGGCAGTAATGTAAAGCTCATTATTTGACTTACACAGTTGGGAATAAAGCTTACATTGTGAGTAGAGAGGGTAGCAAGGAGGGGAGAAGTGTAATGGGAATGAAGCTATTTTGACAGTGGTCCAAGCTCTCTTTTTTTACCAATAGGATGGATTCTCTTGTTTATGTAACACAGACTTGCTTAGAGCTCCTGATCCATGCCTTCAAACATCTCCATAGCTGCAGCAGAGCTCTTCAGCTTCAGTGAGCCTGCAGAGTTTCACCATCTGTTACCCTCCAAATGTCTTGAAACTTTTGGAGGACCTCATTCTCTTCAAAAGACATTTCCTCCTTTAGCATAATTCACCTCCCTCACTGGTTTAACTGTCAACCATAAAATAATATGTTTTTATATAGCACTTTTCTATCAGCTCACAATTTGCCTCCATATATGATTAATGCTGCTGGCTCTTGGAAATTTTATTTAGTCTGCATTACATGCTGTCTTTTGACCTCTGTGTGCATGTTCTTGTGTGTGTTCTCTGGACCTGTGTGTGTATTGCATTTCACCATATGTATTGGACATGGTTCAGTGGTGAACTTGTCAGTGTTAGGTTTATGATTGGATTCAATGACCTTAAAGGTCTTTTCCAACATAAATGACTCTGCGATTCTGTATTTCACGGCAGTACCTAACCTCACTGAATCCAATTCCTGTTATATTGTATTTCAGATGCAGCCAGTGTTTTCAAATGCTAACCTTTGACATTGGATTCGGCATGTCAATATACCCAGTAGTTCTTGAGGTGAGAAAATTACACAAATTATTGCTTGACCTCCAAAAAATACACCAAGAAGAACACAGCAGGAAACCCTCTTTCATAGGTACTCTCGAATCTCTTAGAAATGTACAAATACTTTAATATTAATTTTGCCTAAATGTGGAGAGTTGCTATGGCAGAAACGTGGTTTTAAGAGTTGGAGTTCCTGTGGTAAAGTTCACCACACCAGGAGGTGTGCAAATCTTTCAGTTTAGCATTAAAGGACTATCTATGACCCAACTGAATATCAGTGATACAAAACCCACAGGAAGCCTTGCATGAAAGTAGAGGTAGGTTTTAAATATGACAGAACAAAGATGTGGGAAGGAAGTTAAAATACCACAATTGGCCTTTAATACAAATTAAAGTTCTCCATAAATTGTATTGTACTCCTGCAGCCCATGACCTCCTTTAACCTCCATTGTGCTGTCTTCTTTCTGGATGATCCTCAAGGCCCTAAAAACCAGGGAAATGTGACCTGTGCCAGTTTTCATACCACTCTTGCCTCAGAACAGCCTGTCCTGAAACAAATACTGTACTACTTTCCAGCTGCTTCTCATTACCCCTGTACACACATGAATATGTATATACCTAGGCATATAAAATGTTTGTCTATATTTGTGATATGCAAATATTAAAAAAAAAATTGTAAATATATCCTTCCTTAAAATCTGTTCAAGTTTCTAGCAACAACACTGCAGTCATTCTCTCCATCCTTCAAAAAAAAAAAAAAATCCTTTAAACACATAGGAAAAATGGACACATGAAAGGAATTTTTTCACAATTTAAAAAATCCATGAAGACAATATCCTTAAATAGTCTGCAAAGACTTTTTTAGCTAGTGTAAAAAATGTGGCATGTCATAAGAATTCAATAATTGTATAACAGGCTGTAAAAAATTCTGCCAGAAGTGCTTAAGAAACTAAACATAAAACATAATGTTTATCTGCCTGTATGGGAATTTCAACCATTATCCACAATCCGTAAATGTACAGTAAATCAGTAGAATTTAATAGTGTTTTTATGAAAATACAAATTGCTCTAAAAAATAACAGTTGACAATTAATGCGACATTTGACTTTGAATAGTATCCCTTGGAAAGCGTAGCATGCACACACCCTATGCATCTTGACGTTATATTTGTCTTTATGCTAAAATAATGATTTAGTAATATTTCATAAATATTAATTTGTTAATTTTATTTATATTGTTAAACTTATCCTTTTATCTGTAGTAACCCTAAATACCTGAGTTTTGAAAGAGTTATGGTAACATAAAATCTTTTTTTTTAAATAAACTTATAAGTCAAACGTACGAAAAAAGCTCACATGGCACTGCGATACTGCACTCTGTCCACTGGAGGGCAGGAAACATTGTGGTGTGAAGCTGTGACAAAATGTGGCACACGTTTGTTATTTCATAATCCCGTCAGTTGTGTTATTACATTTTTAAAATAAATAGTTCTAGTGTAGTATATATCGTTATGAGGAGACTGGACTTCTTATTCAAACTATAAATTCTTATATTGTTTTCCAACAGGTGCATGAAAACTTTGACTTTCAAGATGAGGACGAATCAACTATTCAGGACCAAACTTTCAAAGAACTTATTTTTGAAGATACTTTTAAATTTCTCTTATCTAATGCATCCTCAACATCCATTTTCATTGAAGCCTTGCAAAAAATATATGGATCAACTGTGAGCAAGGTAGTTCATTCCGACTTTTTCGTATTACTGACTATTTGAAAACATTTCATTTTAAATTGTATGCTTCTCTGAAATTGCTGATGCCCTATAGAAATTATAGAATGAAGGGTTTATTTTATCAAAAACTGTCTATTATGGTATTCTTGGGAGTAAAACTGTAATTATATTAAACAGTGGAATTTTCTTTTCTTAAAATTTGGCTCTCAAATTATATAATTCCCCAAAACACTGAGCTTTAAACATATATTTAAAACTTTAACGAAATAATTTTCCCATCATTTTTTAAATGGTCTTCTGTTAATGTACAGATTTGTGTGTTTTTGCAATTTCACCCTGAATTGATTAACTCACACAAGTAAGTTCATGAGCATTAGAATTAATTTTTCTGTCCTACAACTTTGTCTCTTATTCTGAATGCAATATCCATTTTTTTTTGCATTTAAAGGGTCTGTATAAAGTTTGCATGACTAGTGAAAACTATTTCTGGCAAGCTGGAGTCTCTTCTAGCAGTATTTCTCTCAGTTTGGGTACTTCTAAGGATGCATTTCTGAGGAGCATCCTGCTTGCAAGACTTACAGGGACTAATTTATCCATGCGACTTCTGTCTCTCAGCCAGGTGTGGCTAAAACAGGGTCATGGGTTCTAAATTTGTGATAGGATAAAGTAGGAAGCAGCAGACATATGCACGAGTGATGCAACTACCTAGGCTGTGTTCCATAGGATACCATGACTTGTGCTTTTCTACACAAAAGAAAAAGAAATGCACAATCAACTTTATTCTAGACTGAAAAATGGGAAGAGGTATCAGGGAGCTGGTTGGCTGAGGTTAGGGCTAGTTGAGATCTGCTGTAACTTGTTCTTTTGATCACCAAAGGGATTGGGGTCTAATTGAAAGCACATTGCTTTCCATGATTTCATCAGAACATGCTGCCCTTTCCTTCACAGGACGGAAAGTACCACAGAGAAGATGAGCAATGTTTCTCTTTAAAAGAGATAAATTCAATGATTACTTTCATAAAGGAGCTGAAGAGTCTTGGACAGTTTGAGCTGGTAAAATAAATAGGGTTTTGTTGTACTGGATGTATATTTTATGTAAATCTCCTAACATTTCTCCTTCATTATCCTTCATTACCCTTCTTTGCACATGTATTAGGCTGGATGGGCAGGGAAGTAAGGAGATAAGAGTTTACACTGATTTTATTTTGGAGGATCATTTGCATTTAATTTAAAAGACATAAAGAAATAGAGAATTTGAGCTAAGGACAGCTAAAGCAGAAACAGACAGCAGAAAATGGAAGGGAAGGGAAGGGAAGGGAAGGGAAGGGAAGGGAAGGGAAGGGAAGGGAAGGGAAGGGAAGGGAAGGGAAGGGAAGGGAAGGGAAGGGAAGGGAAGGGAAGGGAAGGGAAGGGAAGGGAAGGGAAGACACTATAACAGTGAGATCATGACCCAAGAGTAGATATTGATGAAGAAGTGGCAACACGTCATGTTCATTTTTGGAGAAGAATACAGGTAGAGGAATAACAGTCAGTGTCTGTAAATAGGCATGGCAGTTAGTGAGGGAAATGCTGAATATTTGAGAAATAAAAGATCTGAAACTGAATCTGTTGTTCAGAAAGTCTACATGATATCAGGATTTCTTTGAGAACTCCTGGATGAGTTTCAGGGATGGAAACTAGTAAAGCTTTCTGAAGAGCGATTGAGTTTAATAGATCCAGAAGTCAGTACAGAGGCAAAGGAGTTTTACTTCCTTGTCAGTACTAGGAATTCTGATTTGCAAGGCTGGGCAAGACAGTAATTTTCTACACATGTGGGTAAGAGCATTAATATATAATAATCCCTCTGCTATATATACTGTCTTCTGATAATTTCTCACATCTTGACATTCTAGAAATATTATACTGTGGGGTTTCTAATCAGTATCTCTCTTCTCAGCTTTTCCCTTCTGCTGCACCCAAGATTCAAACGTTACTGCGCGACCTTTATCGCATGGTAGACCCAATGAGGCGGCTTGGTTCAGTCCTGACTATGCATTGGCTGCTTTCCAGTTTACTTGAACAATTCCAGTTCATGACTAAAGAGGCACATACAAATATTTCAGAATGGTAAGACAGCTGTTATATATATGAGGGTAGTTTCTCAAATTATATTAATTGCAATATCTCCAGTGAGCATTATAAAACTTAATTCTTCAGTAGATGCAGGTGGACTTGCAAGTCTTGAGAGGAGTGGCCATCATGCCATCATGGAGCATTGTCAGCCATTCTGCCATTAGAATTGTAGCTAGGTTTCTACATAGGACAGTGTTTTCTTCTCTTTCTAATATGAAGGACTCTGGATTAAAATTTAATTGGAACTACATTAAATTTGTTTTGAAGAAAGATGAAGTAAATTATTAAGTTATTTCTGAAAAACTGTAAAATCAATATTAGGAATATTTTTCAGGGTTAAGATTGTCTTAATTTATGCACCAATTAAAAGCAAAACTGTAAAGAAAATATAAAATTTCAGGTGAAGATTTTTTGAAAGGACAAATAATTTTGAGTGGCTCTAGATTTTCTGTCCAACAAGAGGCAGGTCAAAGACCATAATACTCTGAGAACCTCATTTTAACTCTTTTTGAAGAGCTGGAAAAAATACCGCAGGGACAAGGTTGGATCCACTGAACTTCTGTCAAGAAATTTTAACTTTCATAGGAGGGAAGAGGAAAAGCAAGGAGGGAAGGAGAGACGGAGAGGACAAAAGAAAAGAGGGAGTGAAAAATGAATGGAGGGAAGGGGAAAACTTGTGGTATACTGCATCTTTAGTAAAAAATTTGTCAAAATGTGTTTTCTGTTTTCATTATCTCTTGGCTAATGATGTCTTATATACATATATGCCACACTTTGCTGTCTAAAGACATTTATGATTTTACAAACAAGAGCTTGGAAACAGAGGCACATTGTGCTCCATTCCACTGAGTCTCAAGTTGAATGAATGACACTATTTTATGCATTTTGCTTGGAGAATGCTGTCATGACTGTATAGGGCATCTGTAAGATTTCTTAAGTTTTAGTTTTGCTCCTCACTGAATTGGGTGGGGCTTTCAGCAAGTCAATAGTTATCTGTATCTTTGTTTACTTAACTATAAAGTCGTTTATCCATTCCCACTGTGCTAGGTAACTGTTTATTAGTGTTTTGAAAATACACAGTTTCATAAATGTGCAGAGTTATTGTTGTTACTGCGACCACTCCATGAGAAGTAACTCAAAGATGCAGCTGCTTGCATTCATATGTAAGCCCTTGCCCTTTTGCAGAAATATTTAGGTTTGCATATCAAAGCATACCAGCCTTTAGCAGCTTTCTGTTCTAATCTAAGCTGTGCCACTCACTCACTTTGAGTAAACCCCTTGGCCTCATTTTTTCCTTCAAGCTGAACATTATTGTATACATATAAATGTGTAGAAGTACTGTGATATTTCTCCAGAACAAGGGCCAATCTGCTTCTTTGCACTATATTTTCCTGCAATGGTTAAGCTAATAATACCATTTGTTCATTCACTGTATAAAAAAAACATGTTCTTTGACATTGCTAAATCATAATCTTCCACTCCTATAGTTACATGCATGTGATGGTGATGCATGTGTCGGATAGGCATGTAATTATATTTAATTGCAAGGAAGAACAAGCTTTGTTGTACTTACTAACTTGGGTATGCATTCTCTTTGAGCTTTGGTTTATCTGTTTTTTGCAATTCCCAACTTTGATGAGTTTGTATATCAGAACACTTTTCCTAAATTTCTTCAGGTAAGGCCAGGCTGTTCAGTTGATTTATTTAACACTTGATGAGATATCACAGAATATTCTGAGTTGGAAGGGACTCACAACGATCATCGAGTCCAATTCTTAAGTGAATGGCCCATTCAGGGATCAAACCTGCAACCATGGCATTATTAGCACCATGCTCTAAGCAACTGAGCTAATCCTGTGGCACACAGTTTTTATTTCTCTGACTATGCAAAACTGGTATTTCCATTTAAAAAATCCAGACAAGATACTTATGTGATAGTGAGTTCTGACTCAGGTCTTGTACAGTCACTCTGTTCATTGATCACGAATCTATAGGATGAAGACAGGATTTAAAGGTGCTTCCTGGTCTACATTTTTTCACCTGTTTCATCTACATGACTAGTTCTGAATCCTTAAATGGTATTAGTGAAGAAGAACTCCAGAAACTCAGAGTATAATGAAAAGATTACAGCCTAGGTGAAATGACCACCTCTAATGTATTGGTATAAGATATTACAAAGTTCTTTGAAAGTGATGGAGCAGTACTACCTACCATGTGCACTGAAATCAATTTTCTGCATTGTTTGTGCACTGTTTTTCAACTCTGCAGTTTCAACTTGTGATATGACTTATAATAGGATGTGCATACCTGCTGTCTTTTAAAATAGGTGCTATGAAGTATCATGGCAAGTATGTTCGGCTATGTCACACAGCAGGGTATCGTGGAAGAATCGAATTAGTGACTGAAGCTAGCTCTTCTGTATTTGCAAAAGACAAAAGCCTAAGCAGGTCAATAAAGTTGCAAATGTTTTTATGAAATCAACTGATATATTTGGAAAAGTGATTCTAGCTTTCCATATACAAGCCCTTTTTTAGATCAAAATAGAAGCAGCAGCCTTCAGACTGAATTTGTGTTGAACATAATTTCTCAGAGTTTAACTTGGTTGTGCCAATTACCCAGGCAGTTTGAGAAAGTAACATGGTTTGATCTATGGGACAGAAGGTGGCAACAATGAGGAAGTGTGGATAAGATCACTGACCTGCAATAGGAGGAATGAGAGAGAGAGGGAAGTAGGAAAGAAGAGAGACAGTTGGTATTGAGTGCCAGGAAACCATTCCCACTCTTGAGTCAGCAACTTTATATTTCTCTTCTGAAGATCAGCACAAGGTATTTTATTCAGGCAACCAAACGCCATTATGGAAACTGTGACTGAAGCCAAGCAAACACTCTACAAAACAGAGCGCTCACACTGTCAGTTAATCAAACAGAAAAAAATTGTTAGTGATACAGTCTCACAAAATTACCTCCAGTGGTTCTTCTTTTTGAAGAGATAACTATATAACATCAGCTAAAGAAATAAAATTCATAACTCTGCTAAATACTGAAATATGTTCTCAATCTTTAGTTAATGACCCATTACAAACTGTATCATCCACAACTAACATACCCATCAAAGGCACCAAAAGTGACTAGATTTTTTCTTTTTTGTATTTTAATCTAATGAAAGATTCTATTTCTACACATCCTTCATTGCTTATGTCTCTGATTGCTTAGACCATCAGAGCTATATTACTATTGCTGCTGTCAGTCCTTTGGCTTTCTCATTTGCGGAATCAGAGAGATTCCTAAAGGACAGGTTCACAGTCAATAGTTTGTGATGTACACATCTGGGATTTTTCAAAAGGTACATACATTCATAAGCATGCAGTCACCAAGGGTACTGACATACAGTCATTGGTTTCATTAGAGCTAATTACAAAGTGTGTGGGCAAAGTATGCACCTCTACTTGATAGCTCCTTCGAGATATTTAAGTAAATAAGGGGCCACTCATACAGATAAAGGTCTCTTCTTGAGTAACAGCATGTGAAGGAAAGGACTCTGCACAGTTCAGGGTCTCAGCTGGTGCCTGTATTTTGAAGAGCTTCATAACTGCATCTCACCTCAGTCTGATGACTGCAAAGAGCTTGCACAAAGGAAAACTTAATGGTACTGATGAGTAAAAAGCACAGAAATAAATCATGGAAATATAGACTCATTTGGATTGGAAAGATTCTTCCCATCCTGTCACTTATTAAGTGGGAGAAGAGAATGACCCCACCTGGCTACAGCCTCCATTCAGGTAGTTGTAGGGAGTGATGAAGTCTCCCCTGAGCGTCCTTTTCTCCAGACTAAACAACCCCAGCTCCCTCAGCCGCTTCTCAGCAGACTTGTGTTTCAGACCCTTCACAGCTTCATTGCCCTTCTCTGAACAGGCTCCAGCATCTCAGTAACTTTCTTGTAGTGAGGGGCCCAAAACTGGGCACAAGATTTGAGATGCAGCCTCACCTGTGCTGACTACAGTGGGATGGTCACTGCCCCTGGCATTTTATAGAGTTAAGACATCTTGTTTTCACCTTAAGAGTTTGGGACTGGGCAAGAAAAAAGAAACAGTGGAGAGGAAAAATGTATTTGAAAAGTGTTAGCTGTTATCTCTTTGGCAAGGAGGAAGGGGGTGAAAAATTACTTGCAACTTGGAAAACAAACTCTCTAATAGTTTGTTAAGTGCCTCCTTTGAAGTAGGTCAAGAATGTGCATGAAATTAGGGTGGTGTCTAGACACTGCAATCTCAGAACTACATTTTCATGCACACACAGAGACACATCGATCTGCCAGCGACTTCTTTCCTATCTCATTGACATAATGCAGAAATCTCTGTTTTATCATTGGACAGCTTACCTTTTACCATGATTGACCTCAATATTGCTTTCAGAAGCTTCTGTTGAAACATTAGTGATGGATGATTGCACAGAACAATATTGCTACCTCCCTTCCTTTGGCACAGACAGTGACTTCATGTCTTTCAAAATCCAAACTGCAGTATCTGTGAAGAAGCTGCTTTATGAGAACTTCTATGGAAAACATGGGGAGGAAAACACATGAAAGCTTCAAGAAATGCTAGTAGACCTCTGAAAAGGTGTTATTACCTAGAGGTCCAGTACACAGATCAAAAAGAAGCGTAATCCCTTTCTTCTGTTGTGCTACTCCCTTTCTTCTGTTATGTTCTCAAAATTCTATTTGAAAGATAAAGTCTGCAAAGCTTGTAATATGGGCACCACTAACATGTTGATGAATTGTTGCAAATCATTTGTCTTTTTTGATGGAGGATTTTTTCATATATATACTCTGGATTTGTTTTGAATTGGCAAACAAAGCAAAACACATGGGAGTTTCATTTAGGAATTCGTGCTAATGTCAGTAGAGATATTGCCCTTGACACAGACCTTCATTTATTTTTAATTATTTTTGAAACCTCAGGTATATACAGAAAACCATCATACAAACAGTTAAGAGATACAGTTTGGGTTATTTTATTCCTGGTTATATCCACTCTTCCTTTTCCCAGCAATGCAACTTTGTTTTGGAATTTATTTCTTGTTTTCTATTTTGATATGATATGCTGCCATTTATTATGGAATATGTTCACTCAGGTAATATTGCTAATGCTGAGAGCATGAATCCAGAAGGTTGATCTTTCTATGGAGAATATTGAAATACCATGTGCCCTAGGATACCATATAGAAATTGTTGAAAAATATTTCATGGTTTCTGTTCCTTCCATTCATGTAAAAAAAAATATGTCTGCTATTGAATCGACAGGCTATCTTCTCAAGGAAATAGGAGTCCTAAGCAGAATGTTCCTTCTGACTCCAAGAAGAGTCATAAAGGTAAGAGATCAGATCTTTTATATAAAGTATGTTTTTCCTATTTGTATTATTTCTGATAACATGCATGATTTAGATTACATTGTTTTGTATTCCAGTGAAGTCTTGGCTTACTACATATAAAAGACCAATATATATTTCTTCTGTGTAAGTTGTCATGCTGAGCCCATGAACTGTGTTCATGGGCCTAAAACAAAGATCTCACACTGTAGAGAATAAGAGTACAACGTATCTTTTATGATTAAAAGATATTTTCTTCTCCAACAGGATTGTAATTGGGCTTACAGTAGAAAACTATTAGGTGTTTCTGTTTATCTTTCAGCATTGCATTATTCAAGTAAGACTGAAGAAAGGCAATGCAGTCATGGTAAGTCAAGGTCTTTCTAGATCACTAAGGGGGAAGAAGAGAGATTTCTTGAACAAATTCCTTGGGTTTTTCTGCATAGCCTCTCAGTGAATCAAGTATCTGCAGGCTGTAAAAAAAAAAAAAAGAAGGATTTTCAAGTAGGAAGAATGTTTATAAACAACTCTCAATAACTGGGCTATTATATTAAATATGCCTTAAGCATAAAATTAAACAAATTCCTTGGGTTTTTCTGCATAGCCTCTCAGTGAATCAAGTATCTGGAAAAAATCTTTAAAAAAAAAAAAAAGAAGGATTTTCAAGTAGGAAGAATGTTTATAAACAACTCTCAATAACTGGGCTATTATATTAAATATGCCTTAAGCATAAAATTAAACATTGCTATGTGTGCATATTAATGAGAGTATTCCAGCACTCATTGATCCCTTGTCACACTTAATAGACTTTTGCCCCCTATTTCCATTAACTTCAGCATATGTTTTTTTCTTGTGGAAAAACCTTTAAATTTGTCTGGGGTTCAATAGCGGGATATTAAATAGCTGCTCAAGAGATGAGTTTTTCTAAAATGTATATGCTTGTTGGAATATTTAAAGTATATTTAAAGAACTGTAAAGATTTAAAATATATTTTTCTTTGGTAAGAGCAATGCTTTTGGCTGCCTTCCTCATTGACATGTTATCTGAGGGATCGCTTTGTAAATGTGAAGCCATTGCTCTGTGGTGGAAAGGCTTTGCTACCCACTGAGCCTTCTGTCCTCTCTATTACTGATATGGTGCCTCCAGGAACTACTCTATCAATCAAAGGCCAGAAATGCTCCGGGGCTGGCTGACTGGCATCACTATTCTGATTTTATGACATTTTAGTTTGAAAATACCTCCATTAATTTTATTTTGAAATTCCTCATTTTTAAACTAGTAGTGAGATAACATTTCTAAGTAAGACATACAGGATGTGGAGAACTGTTTGTACTCATCTGTAGGGGTTTTTTTTAATACCTTCTGTGTATTAATGTATAGGACTCTATTCCCCTACAGATCTAGCCCAAGTTCTACTCTTCCATTGGAATAATTTCCTTTATATTTTAATCCATGCAAGAAGGTGCTGAAATTGCCCTGTTTTCTTTCTCAAGGCAGATATTTCAAGATAGAAAAGGTCCACATAGAACTGCTTACATTCTTTATGACCCTTTTAGACCAGGTTTTAAGCTACAAGATTTTTCAGATATTATAATAAAAGAGTTTTCTATCTGGAATGTTTTCTGAAGTACCCAGTTTTAAACATGTACTAGTGAATGTATGTGAAAAGCAGTTTTGAATGTGGAATTGTACTGTAAATCTGAATCTGATAGGTTGGATTAAAATATTTGTCATAAGTGGGTTGCCAGCAAATAATTATTCTCATGAGTAATTGGGCAAACACTACAAAATAAAGGATACATTTGAGCAAATAGGATTTGATTGTGGAGATTTCATACACAGGCAAAGAGCTGGAATTTGTTGATTTAGGAATTTTAATAAAACATTCTTCCAGTTGTACTGCAAATGACCCCATGAGTCTAGACATCTCCATGTGACTTGTTCTTATGAAGAGAAAGAATATGTCTAACTTATTTTGAGTTTTATTGGAAATTACATTTGTACATAAACCCTGTACACAGGCTGGTACCTAAGTAGGTTATGAATTTTGGCCTAGCTCTTCTTTATGTTTCAGTAAACCAACTGGAGACAGATCTCCAAGACTTAATCCTTGCATTTTCAAAGGCTTACTCAGGCTTTGAATTTGTGACTAGGACTAAAGTGATTGGGCACTAAATAATTAAAATCCCTCCAAGGTCTAAACATTTCTCTGAAGTGCCACTAAAATCTCCATTAAGATTTTGCAGCAGGATTATCAGTCTCAGAGTGACTAGGCATTAAATATCTTGCCACTGTACATGTTATCAATCTGCCAGAAGTTGCATGTTACTCAAAAATGTTCATACATTTCACAGTTTTTTCTTTGATGCCTTCTTGGAACAGATAAAGATACCCTATCTCATATCAGGCAGATCTTCACCAGTCCACAGCTGGACTTGAATCCTCAGTTTAACCCAAAGATCAAAGAATACTATGCAGAAGTCCCATTCGACATGGTGACAGTGAAGATAGGAGCAGAACCCTCTAACTGTCAATGCCAAGTACACCTTGACGACAAGAAAGGACCAAGGTATGAGCAACAAAATATGAGTGTAAAAACTTAATTTTGGAAATATGGCAGAATATTCCAGAATATTTTTGTGTTTCCAAATACCTAGAACACAGATAGATGAGTCAAAGGAAAGTCAGAGGGAGTTCAACACTGAGGAACTTGTATTTATTTTCAACATCCTGAAGTCAGTGGTAGTATGTTCTCAAGCCATAATTATCCCTAGCTTTATAGAGGGTACAGTTGTTAGCATCTCACCCAGCTCCTGCAATCTCTGACAGCATCAAAGCTGAGTAGGAACGGACCATCACTACACTGCACAGTAGACAAGAAAGAATTTGAGCTTTTGTATCCAGGTGTTAATTTTGCACTGTGCCCTAAGCTGCTAGAATTGGTCTGCTTATGTGGGTCAGAGTAGGACAGCTGGGGTCAAAAGAAGAAATAGGTTCAAGTTTCCTAATTTACAATGATTCATTTTCATCAGAGTTGTATTACAAGGGATTGTCATAGAAACATAGAATAATTTACATTGAAAAAGACCCTTAAGATCATCAAGTCCAAACGTTAACCCAGCACTGCCAAGTCCATCGCTAAACCATATCCCTAAGTGACCCATCTACAGGTCTTTTAAATACCTCCTGGGATGGTGACTCACCCTGGTCTGCCTGTTCCAATGCTTGACAACCCTTTCAGTGAAGAAATTCTTCCTAATATCCAATCTAAAACTTCTCTGGTGTAACTTTAGGCCATTTCCTCTTGTCCTATCTCTTGTTACTTGGGAGAAGAGGCCCATCCCCACCTGGCTACGACCTCCTTTCAGGCAATCTCCTTCTCTCTCCAGGCTAAAGAACCCCAACTACCTCAGCTGCTCCTCACAAAACTTGTGCTCCAGACCCTTCACCAGCTTTATTTCCCTTCTCTGGACATGCTCAAGCACCTTAATGTCTTTCTTGTCGTGAGGGACCAGAGCTGAACACAGGATTCAAGGTGTCAAGGATTCATCAGTGCCAAATACAGGGGGACAACCATTGCCCTAGTCCTGCTGGCCACGCTATTCTTAATACAAGCCAGGATGCCTTTGGCCTTCTTGGCCACCTGTGCTCACTGCTGACTCATATTTAGCCCACTGTCGACAGCACTCCTTGGTCCTTTCCCACTGGGCATCTTTCCAGCCTCTCTGCCCCAAGCCTGTAGCTCTGCATGGGGTTGTTATGACCCAAGTGCTGGACACAGCACATCACTTTCTTGGACCTCATACACTTGGCCTTGGCCCATCCAGCCAGCCTGTCCTGATCCCTTTGCAGAGACTCCAGCAGATCAGCACTTCCGCCCAATTTGATGTTATCTGCAAACTGACTGAGGTTGCACTCAATCTCCTTGTCCTGATTGTTGGCCTGGCCATCCAGCCAATTTTTTACCCAGCAAAGTGTATGCCCATCCAAGCTGTGAGCAGACAGCTTCTCCATAAGATTGCTGTGGGAAACAGCACCAAAGGCACTAGGGAGACAACAACAACAGCCTTGCTCTCATCCACTAAGTGGGTCATCTTGCCATCTGCAAGAGTCCCAGCTTATCTGATCTTTTAGAGAAATATAAAGCTGGATGATAGAAGAGAGAGCAGTCATCACTAAACATTAGATTTTATCACTGACCCACAATCATCCATGATATTTAATTGCTATTGTGATCCCTGGCACAGTTTTGTCTTTGCCAACCAGCTCTCTCAGAGACAACAGCATGTACCAGTTTATTTATTTGGGTCAGGTACCTCAGAACCAGAGAACTGGCCTATTTACATACTAGCCATTAGTGAGTGGATAAAAAGGAGAGCATGAACAACGAATTACTTGGGAAGAAGAATTCTTAACCATTACAGAGCAAACTTTGCTTCATGACATGAAGTGCTCATGCAACACACCATCTTCTGACTGTGAAGCAGATGCTTTGACCTAGAATGTCTTCTAATAACTAGGCAGTCTGTACAGTTCTTACTGATCTAATACTCAGTATGTTTTCTGTATTTTCAGTAAGAAGTTAGTCTTGATATATCATTTCAAAAGAAACTGCCACAAAATTCTTCCACTCAACATTTTGGTGTCTTAATGTTAACTCCCTTGGCAGTCAATATGGATACAAGTGAAAAGCTTAGAGATTTCTTCCTTGTAAAAGGAAAACAGAATACCAATATGTCCTTTAAATTGAAAAGTAAAAGCCTTGCATGTGCATGTTCTGCCTTTCAGCATTTTTTGTTTCCCTTCCAAAGGAAGACGAGCACAGCTCAGCTTTGGTCTTGTCTGTCACTCTGAGCAGTTTGTCTAGTCATCACATTTGGCTAGTGGACAATTTCAGTGGCCGACATCTCTGGTCATGTTTGTCTCTCTGCTAACTTCATCACAAACTTGGACCTGCCAGGAATTATTGTCCCTGGTGGTTTCATTCACAGATTTCATGTCAGAATATTCGCCACTGCCACTGAAGCTGTTTTCACGAAGTTTCACTCTCAGTATTATATCTTTCTGAAAGAACTATAAATTGTTAAAAATGTTATTTTACATTGTTTTTATTTAAAATCACATGTATTTTTTAAGAGAAAATGTTAGAAATAGCAGCCTCAAGGAACAAGTAAAATTTAGCAGCCATAGATAAAGCAACATAAATCTTTATTTCTTTAAGGTTTATTCCACTTCTTTCCTATTTTGTTGTGCAGCAGTGCTAACTACCCCCTTGGCCTTGGATTGAACAAAGTCATCATTCTCGTAACAGATGATTCGCAGCCCAGCCCTCCGGTTGTGAGCAGCTACAAAGTAACAATTTATCGAGAGGACCGTCCCAGTCTGCCTTTGTTTGATGACTACATGATGTGTGGGTTTGTGCAGGTATTGTCTCTGCATTCTTTTTGTATTCAAATTAATAGTGATATTAGCTGGGTTCTGTTCATCCAGTGATATAAATCAGGGCACATGGGCCAAAGCTGGTGTAGAGTCAGTTTTTGTTGAGATTAGAATCTGAGTTCTAAACACTAAAATTGTATGAAATTCAATATTTACATAAAGTTTTGGATATAAAAGGTAAGTCTAGCATAAGTACCTATTACCGTGTATTTGAGAGCTCCGGGTGAATTAATCTTTACGTTGGTCAGGCAAAACCTTCTCCATCAGAGAGGTGTTGTTTGCTTGTGATAAAACAGTCCCTCTGTAAAACGCAGTGGGCAGTTTTCATAACTATCTGTCTGTGACATTGGAGCCATGGAAATCCTTTTACTGGGAAAGATATTTACAATGACAGTGCGCTTATCAGTGTTCAAAAAAAATACTGCCAGATAATTTATGAATGAAAACTGTTTATTCTAGAGCAACAAACACAATGAAAAAAACCCACTGATAATTTTGAAGGAAGGGATCATTGTTGCTTATCACATTTATCCAAATGAAAATTTGGGAATGAACATAATAACAATGCTTAGGAAGCAGTGGGTCTGTTGAGGGGAAAAAAAGGATGAGAGTCTGTCCAATAGGGCTAAATTGGGGCTTGGAAAGGGGATATCAGGTTGAATTATACAGAAAATTGGAAGAAAGATAGTGAAAGCAGGTAACAGTGAAGATTTCAGTTAGTGAAACTATGGTGATAAAGATATTCTGCATAAGAGAGAAAACCTGGGACACAGGCTGTATCAGAGCTGTTTGTATTCCAAAGTTTGAGGACTAAATGTCCTTGATACGGTGGGCAAAGATAAGCCAGCCAGTTCAAAGAAGGAAGTGACATTGTAAATGGTAATCCAGGGCAATGCTTTTGTCTGTGGAATTTTAGGCAGATTAAAAGGATTGGTGTGTTAATTCTAATTATTAGAGCATCCAGGAGTAGTATATTTTGTCACAATTAATTCTGCATCCAGGAAGAAGGATTTTCAAAACTATTGTGTTGAAACTGTCATCCGTGTTCATGTCAAATGTCTAATCCTATCTTTATTTATCTATTTTCTTTATGAAGATCTTTATATCCATTAGCAAAACTTCCTTCCCATCTCTGGTTGGCAGACCAGGGTGGTAGAAGGCAGAGCATTTTATGTGATGGGGGAGATCAAGAGGGATTCTTTTTTCTTATGGAGAGATACATACTGGGACTTAAAACAGGAGGCAAAGAGATAATAAATGTTGATAGCAAATTGTATGTTGACAATAATTATTTCAATCTGCAAATTAGAACTGTCAGAGAAAATGTGAGTAATAGTCATAGCCCACTGACTGCTGATCTGAATACTTGATTATAGTGTTGTCTGGCCCTCTACCTATTCTTTGTCTGCTCTCTTAGACTTCTCTTACAAACCCAAAAGGTCAAGGACCATCTTCTTGCTCTTTTTACTGGCTCAGCACTAGATCTAGTAGTTGCTACAGTAAAATAAGAAAAAACACATATAGTACCTAAGATTTCAGTTCAGGTGTACAGCAACCTGCCTGACATCTTAAATGTGAATTAATATGAAAAGGAGAGCAGCGATAAGTTGAACTGGGGTTATATTATGAGGACAACACACTGCTTGGAAAGATGTGAGAAGCTCTTCTTTTTTCCTTATTTGGGGCACATATCTGGGTATAGGAACAGGAATTCAACCTCATACACATCCTCCCACACTTAGAGTTTACACTGTTGTTAATGTTTTATGATAGCATTTATGAGACAGTATGAATCTTTAAAGCACTGCAAAGGCAAAGAGATCTAGAGTGATAAAAATTAAGAGTGTTTTAGAAGTTTCTTTTGATTAAGATCAGTTTTCTGCTCCTCTGTGAATAACTATTCTCTAACTAATATAATTGTTCAGAGCTAGGGACAGCTTCAGGAGTTTAGAGTAAAAATAAGATGAAAAGCATTCTTGTGGTATCTAAGGACTGCTGTGAAGATACAGTATGAGATTCTAAAACAACTTTTACTTATGTTAGAGGCAAACTTATCAGAGAGTGCATTTAAAAAACAAACAAAGACTGGAGCTGGAGATAGAAATGGCATTCTAAAACACTTAAAAGCCTGCATTTTTTACTCTTTTTCCTATTTGCTAGAAGAGAATTTATTCCTTTTTGCTTAGAATGATGTCATTTTATCAATACAGAACTCAGGGCTTAAATAACATCATTACATTCTGCTTTTCATAGTAGAGAATATTATGAGCTCTGGCAGAGTGGGTTAATACACCACCATGAATGCTTGTTCTCTTAGTAACAAAGACACCTGTTTTAGGAGCAAAAGGATAAATAAGCGTGAACTGATGGAGTATCCTTTGGACACTTGACTAGGCACAACTGGGATCACACATGAGGAGAGGAAGGTCACTGATAGTGGTGTGGTCTTTCTCACAGAAGGCTTTGCTTAAAATTCTAATCCGGTAATTTTTTTCCTGACTTTCTTTTATGTTTAATCCCATTAGTATATTCGGGTTTCACTGCAAGATGATACTATAAGGAAGGTTACAATAAAAAGACAGAGTGCAGGATGTTATTTGCAGTCTTCTAACAATTCTCATGCAGTTGAATGATGCTGGATTAATTTCAAAGCTATTGAATTCAGAGGTGTGTGGTTCCAAGCCTTGCAGCCCCTAAAAAGGGAAAAGATATTGTCCTCTTTACTTTTTTATAGCAGCTATAATATCCTCATTAAAACCAAATCAATAGAAAATAAACTGTTGCATCACCACAGCACCTTCAGCAGATTTGGTTGCCTTCCACTGTGTGTTCTGCATTTTGACAGTATTGTTTGGACTGCAAATTGAGAGGTTGTTGATTTCTGCTTGAACTTTATTTTGTGCAATTAGTGACAATATTCAAATTAAGTACCCTAAAAGAAGTGGTGCCATTTCATTATCGTCTCTGTAGCTGTGATACCAAGATAGTCAGGATTCAAAGCAGGCAGCAGGAAAGCCAGTGAGCTCTTAAGACAGGGTTATCAGCATCTCTCTCAAGTGAAAGACCCCACACTACATACAAACTGTTGTAAAGGAAAAAGTATTTTATTCATCCTTGCAGTGCCTATTATCTTTAAAATGCAAACAGATTTATCTATGCCTCACTTGAAATGTGCTCTCTCTTTGATTTTTAATCTTTGCCTAGTTGCAGTCATGGCGAGTAACTGGTGATGTGCTTAGGGAATCTTGTTTGACACTGTGAACTTTGTATCTAGAGTGTTTTGGAGTGAGTAGTTTTTGGTTTATTTGTTTGTTTGTTTTTGTTGTTGTGGTTTTTAGGTGTTTTGGGGTTTGATTTTTTTAGTAATACAGTTATTTATTTGATTTTGCTTGTGTATTGTGAGTAATGGATAGCTAATATTACATTTTGTACCATAGTGTGTTTTGTTCTCTTCATCATTCTCTTTGGGCATTTGCCCAAAATGTAAAAGAGTACATTCCAGAATCAGTGCAGTGCAGAGGGCTAATGTGGCTGTCCTACAGCTTTCTCAGGTCTGAGAAAATGGACTTACAGAACATCTTTTAAAACTTTCCTGATTTTTATAAAAAACCTTATTCCTAAGTACTATTATCTCTTGTATTTTTATAAGTCCTTTTATCATATTTTTTTGCTAAAGTCCAGATAGCATAAGAAGCCCAACAGAACTGATAATGAGATACGGGCATAGCATTGCAAACTGTAACACCAAATGGCTGCAATGCAGCTGGCAACAAGATGCCAGCAACAACATGTTGATTTGTCTGTCTGTCCACTAAACTTCCATTGATGACAAAGCAATTAAGACCTAGGCCTATTATAGTAAGTATATTTAATTTTACTATAGATTTTCAGGCATAGAGAAGAAAAAGCTCTCATTTTTGTGTTAAGAAAGTTATGAGAATACTTATTTTTTTGCAGCTCAATTTATACATTTCCAAAGGAAAATGAAAGAGTTTTACTTCATTTTAAACTGTGGGAAAATAAAATGGTTTTATTTCATTTTAAACTGTGTGCTATTACATTTACAAAGCTTTTCATACCAGACAGTATAAGTAAAAACCATCAATTTTAGAAACATGTATTAACTCTTTGCATAGTACTTCCACACAAAGATTTCAAAGAACCTTGCAAGTATCACATAATGTCCATAAAAGAAAAAAAAAAGAAAGCTTAGGAGAGAAACAAAGAATTTGTCTTGTAGTAGGACAGGCTGGAAGCACATTATTCTCTTCTGTATTTCCCATTATCTGCATTAGATTCAGCATGACCACTATTACAAACTGCCCATCTCTTCTGTCCTCAGGACATTGCTGATGCCAGGTGTGGACTCACAGGTTTTGCAGAGTTTGTTGTAGCAGCAGCTAACCCTTGTGGCAGTTCTGGGTTTGAGTGTCTTGCTTGAAAAGACATGGAGAGTGCATCTCTGGAACTGAATACACAGCTTAATTGTAACAACCACCAGACTGTATCTTATTTACAAAGTCAGCTTACTTCCCTTTCAGAGAAAAAAGAATGTCTATTATGAGAGCAATCACGCATTGTTTTCCTCTGCCTTCTCAGGTATAGAGCTAGTGAGAATTTTTTCAGTGGTTTTGGATTTTTCAGAACAACAACAAAAAATGCCCCAAACTTCAAAACAATAGTTGGAGTCCTTTTTTTTTTTTTTTTTTTGCTGTTGTTCAAAAGAGCATGTTTGATTGTTTGATTCATTGAGGATTATTTGATTAAATGAGTATAAAATTTGAAATTTTTGTTGGTATAACTGTTAAGTTAGATATTTTAGCTATTGTGCAGTCCAGAATGCTAACTCTCTTTTCGAGGAGGGAGTATCTGGGACAAGAAAAAAGCCCACTCATTACTAGATCTGAAACACTCAAGCTTATACTCTAAATTTTCTTCAGAAACATTAGTGAGAGCACAGTATAACAGTCATTCTTTCCAGGAGC